CCATGAAGTGGACGGAAGAAAACGACAACATCAGCAAAAAAGGTTCGAAAAGTAAAGAAGCGACTTGAACGAAACCCGCGTCGCAGTGGCCGAAAAATGGCTCGTGAGCTGAACATATCGCAATATTCCATTCGGCAAATATTAAAAAATGAGCTCGGGGTAAAGCCATTGAAATTCGAAAAAAGTGCAAGAACTTACACCGCAACAGAAAGAAAATAGACTCAAAAGAGCTAAAGAGTTGCTTCGCTTGGCGGAATGTGGTGAACTGCCGAATTTGGTTTTCTCCGATGAGAAAACATTCGTTGTTCAGCAGTTTGTAAACAAACAAAATGATCGTGTAATCGGCGCTTGCCAAAGAGGTCAGCTGAAAATGTGCACCTTCGGTTGGCCACCAGAACTCAATCGCCGGCAATGGTGATGGTGTGGGCCGTCATAACAGCCGATGGTCGCTCTCCGCTCCGAATAAATGCCGAATATTATTGCGAAAATATTCTGGAGGGTGTATTAAAGCCTTGGGCACGAAAACATTTTGGCCGCAGACCTTGGACATTCCAACAGGACTCCAAACCAGCACCATCGCACTCAGCACGCGCCACCCAAGAATGGTTACAAAATGAGGTTCCTCGCTCCATTTCTAGCGCACAATATCCACCAAAATCTCCGGATACCAATCCGTTGGACTATTGTGCCTGAAGTATTTTGGAAAGCAAGGTTGGCACTAAAAATACCAAAGTGTCGGTCACCTCAAGCAAGCGCTTCACCGGGAATGGGTCAAAATACCGCAGATCAACATTCGGGCCGTTTGAAGGCCATAATTCGTGCCAAAGGTGACCATTTCTCACAAATCTAAACTTATTCTAAAATTTGATGCCATTTCCGATATTTTTTGCTTTCATTCAATAAAATTAAAAATAAAAAAACAAGTAAAAAAACATTAAGTTCGGCCGGGCCAAACTTTTAATACCCTCCACCTTAGGGTAAAGGAAACATGAGAAGAAATGTGGAAAAAACCATTAAAATGCCGAATATCGGGAGGTATCGTTATATGGGGGCTATACCAAATCGTCGACCTATATATGCAAAGATTCGCCACACAAACTGGGACCCATTATGACCTACAACTACCAATTTTCAGAGAAATTTGTGAAAAAATGTGGCAAAAAACATTAAAATGCCGAATATCGGGAGGTACCGTTATATGGGGGCTATACCAAAATGTGGACCCATAATTACAATGACTCGCCACACGAACTAGGACCCATTATGACCCACAAATACCAATTTTTAGACAAATCAGTGAAAAATGTGGCAAAAACCATCAAAATACCGAATATCGGGAGGTACCGTTATATGGGGACTATACCAAAACGTGGACCTATACGTACATTGTTTTGCCACACGAACTAGGACCGATTATGACCTACAAATACCAATTTTTAGACAAATCAGTGAAAAATGTGGCAAAACCCATCAAAATACTGAATATCGGGAGGTACCGTTATATGGGGGCTATACCAAATCGTAGACCCATACATGCACTGTTTCGCTACCGGAGCTGGAACCCATTATGACCAACAAATACCAATTTTCAGACAAATCCGTGAAAAAATATTGCATAAATCATGAAAATACCGAATATCGGGAGGCACCGTTATATGGGGACTATACCAGAACGTGGACCGATATATCTCATTTTCAATACCAACCATCCTAGACACAATACAAATTGCTCTGCTAAATTTTGGCGCTCTACGTCAAATAATGTAGACTGTATCGTGATTTCAACAGACAGATAGACAGACAGACGGACAGACAGACAGACAGACAGACGGACAGACAGACAGACAGACGGACAGACAGACAGACAGACAGACAGACGTACAGACAGACTGACATCGTTAAATCGACTTAGAATTTTATGCTGATTATGAATATATATACTTTATGGGGTCTACGACAAACGGAATGACAAAGTTAATATACCCTCCTTTACAAGGTGGTGGGTATAAAATTGTAAAAATAATGGCCTTTGACTTTATTGCAGTGTTTTTTATCTCACCCTGTATAATTGTATAAAATGATTATTTCGATGTTTTACAAATGGAACGACAAACAAACCTGCAAAGGGTCAAGTTTTGACAACGCATTCCAAACACAAGGCTAACCAAAGGTTCAATAGACAGTTAAGCCTTTTTAATGCCTCATTTTTTATGAACGCATCAAAGTAGAGGCAAAAGTATTCGGTATTGCAATTAACAAATATTAATTTAAATATACATTTTTTTTTTCAAATTGTGTTTGTGTTTTTGTGTATGTTTATTATTTTTTGTTTAATTACAAATCCCTCTATGAAATATGAGTTCAGGTAATTGATTGTCGCGTGTTAATAATTCAAAATTTAACAAAGGTTGTAAAAATGTGAATAAAAAATATCAGGCGGTATAGTCGACAGTTATATACCCTCAGTCTGTAACAAGATATCTAAATTAATAAAAGAGTGAAGTAATTGAGTGACTGACTTAGCGGTGAATCTAGAATTTTGAAATTATGGGTGAGGGTCACTCTTGCTCAAAAGGTGTTAGAAAAGGCTGGGTTTTTGGAAATTTGTACAATAACGGTTCGAAAAGTACTAAATATGATATCCTATGTGTTTGACGAAACATTAGAACTAGAACTCCTAAATTTGGAATGAGGGTCACTGATGGAGTGTATGATGAATGTATCAAAGGGTTTTTGGAAATGCGCACTAAAGTGTACCAAAAGGTACTACATTTTGTAAAATTTCGTACGGTTAGAGCTAAAAACTTGTAATTTGTAATGACAATCTAGATTGAGAAGTGGGGTGGATTTGAGGAGGTAGTTTTTGAAGTGTATATTCATGGATACGAAAATTACTTAGCGGCAATAAGTTCGGTACAATGTGAATTTGGAAGAACAAATTGAACTGAAATCCTGAAACTTGAAATTAGGATTATTGGGGAAGTGTAGGATTGTGATATGGGAGGTAGTTTTCGAAATTTGTACTTATGTGCACGAGAAGTACTTAATGGTACTAAATTTGGTACAATTTCTATTTGGGTGAACCAATGGAGCTGAATGCTGAAATTTGGAAATAATATTTCTAGTATGATGTAGGTAGTTTTGGAAATTTGTACTTATGTGTATTAAATGGTACTAAATTTGGTACAATATCGATTTGAGTCAACCGTTAGAGCTGGAAATCCAAATATTATTACTCTTGGAGTGTAGGATTGGAGTGTGTAAGAAGGTTTGGAAATTCTTACTTATGTGTACTAAATTTGGTACAATTTGGATTTGTGTGAATCGATAGTGCTGGAATCCTAAAATTTTGAAACCAGATTTATACTGGATTGTATGATGCAGGTTGTTGCAGAAATGTGTACTTATGTATACTAAATTTGGTACAAAGTGTTATTAAAGTGAGCCAATAAAGCTTGTATCCTGAAATGTGGATATATAATTACTGTATGTGTAGGATTGGGATATGGAGGTAGTTTTGGAAATTTGTTCTTATACTTAGGTCCTAAATTTGGTAAAATTTGGATTTCGATACAGCTGGTATCCTGCAATTTCGAAATAAGATCACTGTCGGAATGGAGGTAGTTTTGGAAATGTGTACTTATATGCACTTAAATGCACTAAATTTGGTACAATTTGGATATGGATGAACCGATAGAAGAGGTGATATCCCAAAAATTTAAATTAAGATTACTGTTGGAGTGTAGGATTAGGAAGTTTTGGAATTTCGTACTCATGCGTGGTGCTAATTTTGGTAAAATTTGGATTTGAGTGAACAGATAGAACTGGATATCTAAAATTTTTAAAATATGATTACTGTGGGAGTGTAGGATTGGGACATGGGGTAGTTTTAAAAATTTGTACTTTTATGTACTAAATTTGGTACAATTTGGAAACCGGTGGGGTCGGAATCCTGAAATTTGGAAATAAGATTTATATTGGATTGTATGATTCAGGTTGTTGCGGAAACTTATGTGTACTAAATGGTACTAAATTTGGTACAAATAGGAATTGTGGTGAACCGATAAGGGTAGAAATTTAAAATTTTGGAAATAAGATTTGTATGTGGCATTGTATGATTGAGATTTGGAGGTAGTGTTGGAAATTTGGAATGTGGCATTGGGAGATGCAGGAAGTTTTGGTACAATTTGGATTTGTGTGAAACAATGAAATGTGGAATGAGGACTACTGTTGAAGTGTAGGATTGGGTATGTACTAGATCTATATACAAGGTGATGCAAAAGTAAAATTCCGACGTTTTTTCGCTGCAATTAAAAAAAAAATGAAAAACTCACGAATATGATGTCATATAAATTGAGTCTTTTGATGGCATTTTCTATCACTTGGGCCAAAATTTCCGGTCCTCACATTCTTCACGGGTATCGTTTTTAAGAGCTGAAAGAGTCTGATGCCTCTTGAAATAAACCCGCGCCTTCAAAAAGCCGAAATCGCCGAAAGGGTAAATAGGCGCCGGGGAAATGTATCCTTCAGCATATCGATTGTGGCACGTGTAGTGTGTGCCGTTGTACCGTATTGTCGGAACCACATGTTTTCCAATCCCAAATCATCAAGTTGCGGCGAAAAAAATTTCTTTGTAGCGCTCACCATTCACAGTAACCGTGTCTGCGAAGAAAAAAGGTTCAATGACTCCTCCAGCGAAAACAGCACACAGTGCAGTGACTTTGAGCAGGTGTAATGGCTCTTCGTGGCTTACACGCGTATTCAGAAGGTAAATTTTGCTGATTTACGTACCTGTTAAGATGGAATTGGGCCTCATCACTCGTGATTATTTTGAATGAAAATTCATTTTCTTCTTGGTGGTGATAAATGATGGCTTGAGAGGGTGTTGGACGCGATTGGCGGTCAGCAGCTAACAGCTGATGCACCATCTGGACTTTGTACGGTAACATCTTCAAATTATGTATAAAAATTCGCTGTAAAGACCGTCGACTGATACCTATTTACGTGACACGTCGTCTATTCGATGTCCACGGCGCTTCCATGACATCTTCGGCTAAAGCAGCAATAGCGTGTGTTAGACGCGATTGACGATCAGCAGCTGACAGCTGATGCACCATCTGGACTTTGTACCGACACATCTTCAAATCTTGTATAAACATTCGGTGTAAAGACCGTCGACTGATACCCATTCGCTTGGCACGTCGTCTATCCGATGTCCAAGGCGCTTCCATGACATCATCGGCTAAAGCAGCAATATTCTCTGCAGAACGGATACTCCGGGGTCTGCCACGCCTGGCAGCATCTTTTGTTGTGCCAGTCTCTTCAAGACGAGAGGCTAAACGTCGCAGTGTTTCACCCGGTAGGCGTTGGACGACCAGGAAATCTGCGACAAAATTCACGTTGTGACAAAGTCACCGACCACTTATAGTCACCAATATTCCGCGTTCTGGAGCAGTGTGTTTGCTACAAAAAAGTCTAAACAGAACAGATATTAGGGGCCAATCATAAAATGTATACCATTTTCTGATAGGAGGATTACTTTTTCGCCACCTTGTATGTATATAAAGGAGTAACTAATGAGCGAGTGTCCGACTAACTGATTTATCAACGCCCAGGCGAAACGGCTAAAGCTAGAATTTTAAAATTATGCGTGTGGGTCAATGTTGGTGGGTAGGGGTGAGAAATGGTTTAGTTTTTGAAAATTCGGGCTAGTAGTACATTTGGCATGAAAATTTAGTTTGGAAAGTAGTGTTTGAAAATGCGTAACTACTGTACCAAATGGTACTGAATTGGTACAATTTGGTTTTGATCTGGAAAAATATTGGTATTGAGGTACCTGCTGGTGGGAAGGGTTAAGATAAAGGCTTGAGGTTTGAAATGCATTCAGCAAGCGTAAGAAAGGTACAAAATGGTACTAAATTTGGTATTGTATAAACGGAGACTACTTGAAATCTGAAATTTGTTGGTGTGTAGGGTTGACATTTGGAGTTGGTTTCGGAGGAGGCATTTGGAAATACGTACTAAAAATAGTACGAAGAGTACTGAATGATATTAACTTCGGTATTTAAGGAAGAAAAGAAGCTGGAAATCTGATATGCTGTTGTTCTTGATGTTGTTCTGGATAGGCAAACTAAAGTTTTGTTTCGAAATTCGAACAATATATGTACTAAAAGTACTGAAATGTACTAAATTTTGTACAATTTGGAATATTTTGAAATGTTGTATGGATATAACGAAATAGTTTTGGAAACATGTGCTAAGTACAAGAACTTTACTATATGGTACTAAATTTGGTACAATGTGCTTTTGGGCGAATGGATAAAGGAGGAATGTTGAAATTTAGAAAGAGTTTGATCTAAAAAGTGGACAATATTTGAACGAAAAGTAAAGAACGACACTATATTTGGTATGTAGGGTAGAACATAAGTTGGAATTGTACATTTCGGTATTAAGACCGCTGTGAAACATAGTTATTTTTTTCCGAATAAAGAAAGATACAAATTGAAGCGCATTTTATCCGGATAAATCCTTTCGTAAGGCCCTGTCTGTAGCAGACATTTTACTAGTCTTCTACCAAATAAACTTAAAATTCTGCTAGGCCTCTACTGGTCTTCTATTGGCAACAGGCTTTTTGAAGGTCTTCTAAATTCCTTTTATAGATAAAACTAGCTGAACCTGGCGCGCTTCGCTACTCCTTCGCTTTTATACGCATTCAAAATTTTATATATGAATATTTGTTGGTTAAAAAATATAAATAAAACAAATTCAAAAATTTTAAAAACGTTATTATTGTAATGCGTAAACAAACAAATAGCTCGGTCATTCAACGCGTGAACATTCCAGGAAAAAAGCTTGAGAAAAGCAGGAACATGCTAAATTTAGTCCGCATACACGAAAGGGTTGTCCTTCGGATTTATTAATTTCATAGCAAATGCCAAGCGTGCTGGAAACTGTAATCTTTTGAAGTTGAATTTAGAGAATTCGAGGTATTAACATATTTCCAATAATAATCATACCCTTATTAAGTTTGTCATTCCGTTTGTAACACCTCGAAATATACATTTTAGACCCCACAAAGTATATGTATTCTTGATCAGTATAAAATTCTATGCTGACTTAGCGATGTCCATCCGTCTGTCAGTCTGTTGAAATCACTCTAGCTTCCGAACGAAATAAAGTAGGTTGAGAAAATTTCACTCAAATGTATATTATGTCTGCAGGACATTTGGTATTGAAAATGGACCATGTAGGATAATAATGTCTCTTTGGTAATTTTAGAGACATTATTCACCGGAATTGGTTCAAATTTTGTATTTGAAGTTCGAAATGTATACTACAGCCTATGACAGAAGATTATCTATGCAGTTCCACGTCTTCGTATACATTCGGTACTTTTAAGATTTTAAAACAATTGTTAACGGATTTTATTTCTTTGAAAATTGCAAAATTCGTTCCAAATGGTGGAGGGCATTCAAAGTTCGGCCCGCCCGAACTTTCAGCTTTTTTACTTGTTTACTGTTAGCCTTATACCATTGCAAAGGCGTTGTGAGTCATTGCATCCTAATAAAATCATATTCCAATCTGTCACATGCCATATTTCATTGAAATTGGAGGTACATACCGTGTTTGGTGCATAAAATATGTGAAATCGGCCGAGAATATATATGGGAGCTATATCCAAATTTTAACCGATTTCAAATTTGTTATTGTATCCAAATTCCGCCACACATTCTGGATTTCATTGGAATATGACATACATATGGTGTTTGGTACATAACATTCATAAGACCGACCGAAAAGTATATATATGAGAGATGTATCCAAACCTCATCCGATTTCAATTTAATTTGGCAAATTTATTTTTGTACCAAATTTGGTCACTCATGCCGAATTTCATTGGAATCGGATATACGTATCATGTTTGGTGCATCAAATATGTGAAATCGGACGAAAATATATATAGGAGCTACATCCAAATCTGAACCGATTTAAATATAATTTGACAAATTTATTTTTGTACCAAATTAAGTCACTCATGCCGAATTTAATTGGAATCGGATATACGTATCGTGTTTGGTGCATCAAATACATGAAATCGGCAGAAAATATATATGGGAGCTATATCCAAATCTGAACCGATTTCCATAAAAAATGGCAAATATATTTTCTAATCAAATCCCGTCATTTATTCCAAATTTGCAGAATCTATCTGTAATCGACCAATAGATATGTGCATATAAAATCCAAATTTTTGGAAAGTACCTCCGATTCTGACGCTATATCTCCGGTCCCGAGAGGAATTTCAAAAATATATAAAGCCTATGTTACTTTCAGGCGATGTTGTAGTATACTTGGAAATTTTTAGGAAAATCTGTTCAGCGGGTTTCGAGTCCATAAATTACAAACAAACAAACAAACGTACAAACATTTTCCTCTTTTATAGATATAGAGACCTTTAAAAATTAGGTTGGTCATATGACCATCTCATATGTAGGGTAACCGCAACAAACACACAGATACACATAAATTCATACGCAAATTCCAACAACCGTTTATTTTTTGCCTAAACAGCAACAAAAAAAAGCAAATTGAAAAGTATTTAACGAAAGCGAAAATTAATAAGCGTTTAATAGCTCGGTCGCTCGCTTTACCGCTAATTAACGCGCCCAGTTCGTTTAAAAAGCGCAAATGACGTTTTGTTTGAATGTCTAGCCCCCCCAGCTCCTCCTACCCTCTCCACAATCCCAACATTGCCGTCCAGCAGCCGCCATCCAGTTAGTCAACCACCAAAACGACATGTTAATGACGTCCTCAATCACTCATTGGCTGGCTGACTGACTGACTACCTGCCTGGTCATTCAGATCTATTGGTTATCATGTTTTTTGTATATACGAGTATTTCGATTTTTTGCACAAGTGAATTGTTTAATAAAAAAATCATAAACACTGCTATATAAACATATTTTCTCAATCAATTTGCATAATGGCTAGAAGTCGGGACACGACCCATAGCAGGTGGCAAAAAGACTGACAGAAGACTGGAAGAGTTTGAAACAAAAAAAATAACTACGACAACGATGGCTGGTTTCATTCAAGCGAGGTGGCAAAGGTTTCATTTACGTCAAATGCAAAACAATGGGCAGTGAGAAAGTGACAGAGTGACGACGAACAGTGGGCAAAACAACACTGTAATTCTTTGTGGAACCCTTACCCCCAAAAAGTTTGGTAAGCAAATAATTTTGCCGCAGGTCTCTTTGGACGAACTTTGCTTGAGAATATTTGGAGTCGATCTGGGTATGTCGGTGCGATTTCTCTAAATTTGGTACTTTGTAATATTTTTACCAAACTAAGATCGAATTCGCTGGTGAATAATGTCGGTCCAATACTTCTAATACCACCCCACAAACGCTCAAAAATTTGCTGCTGCCGTTCAAACTTGGAACATCATAATATTTGAATAAGACTTGGGTTAGGTGCAAGGGGACAAATTTGGCCCAATCCTTTTTGTACCTCCACCACAAAAGTTCAAAAATTTCTAGAAAAAAATCACATATAACGCACACCAGTCACTGCATCAATGCCCAGGCGAAACGGATGAAGGTAGAATCTAGAAATTGTGCTTGTGGGACAATGTTTGTATGTAGGGTGAGATAAGGGTGAGTTCTTAAAAATTCGGATGACCGTTCGTGCGTCCGTCTGTGGAAATCACTCTAGCTTCCGAACTAATTGAAGAAGGTTGACAACATTTTACTCAAATGTGTGTTTCGTCTGCAGGACTTTTCATATTGAAATGGGCTATATAGGTCCACGTTTAGTTATAGCCTCTATATAACTGTACCTCCATATATTCGTTATTTTGATGATTTTAGCGACATTTTTCTCCGGAATTGTTTCAAATTTCGTACTAAAAGTTCGTAGTGGGTACTACAGCCTGTGACGGAAAATTGACTATGCAGGTCCAGGTCTTCGTATCACCTCCATATATCAGTACCTCCCCATATTTGGTATTTCGATGGTTTTAGCTACATTTTTCACCGGAACTGCTTCAAATGTAACTGAAAATTGCCTATGGCCAACGTCTTCGTATATTTTGATGATTTTGTCGACATTATCCACCTGAATTGTTTCAAAATTTGTATTTGAAGTTCCTAATGGGTACTACAACCTACCACTGAAAATTGTTTTTTGCAGGTCCACGCCTTCGTATAGCCCCCATATAACGATAACTCGCTATATTCTTAAGAGAATTGTTAACGGTTTTTTTTTTTAATTTTCAAATTTGTTCTTAATTGTAGAGGGTATTCACGGCACGACCGAACTTATTGCTTTTTTACTCGTTTAGCTATTATCTCTTTGGGAACACTGGCTTAAACCGTAATAGACGGTGCCACGCGTAACAATGAACTTATTGAATGTACATTTTATTTTACATTCGGGACTGGTCAATCCGAAAGGCCGCCTAGATCGCCTTTAGACTAATTTTGTGGTTCTATGTTAAAGCTCAGGTCCATACATTCGAGCTGCCTTCATACATTCGAGCTGCCTTCCTTCCGCATTGATGCATTTATTCGGCCGTAATGTTGGAAAGAGTATGCTAAACTTAAGTTGCGGTCAATTCAACATTTGTAAGAAATAATCTTCAAATATTAAATTAAGTGGACCCTACTATCAATTCATATAAGGATTTCATGATTTTTTTTTCGGAATAATTCGAGATTAATAACAACTCTTCGATTTTTTCGAAATTTTTTTCCAGAGCTCGCCCTGATTCCGGGAAAATATATATTTTTTTTTTTGGGGGGGGGGGCGGACATGGGACCCCCGAAAGTCTGGGTTAAAGACCGGGGCTAGACCCTTTATATGTTTACTAAAAGTACTAAAAATGTTATCCATTATATTGGGGAAATGGATAAAGCTAGAAACCTGAAATTTGAAATAAGGATCGCTGATGAAGTGTAAGATAGTTGTATTAAAGAAACTTCTATCTACACTTAGTATACTAAAAGTACTAAAATTCACTAAATGTGGCACTATTTCGAATTATGTGAGCGGATAGATTTAAAATGTTGGAATTTTTCCTAAGAATTAGGTTTGGGAAGAAGGGGCGAAATTATAAGGCGGTTTTGGAATTGGTACTGTATAGTGTACGAAAAGTATTAAATTGTAGTAAATTTGGTGTGTGAAAGGTTCAGATTTTTAGGCATTTTTGGAAATGCGTACTAAAAAGAGCGAAAAGTACTACATGATCTTAAATTTGGTATTTGGGGAAGGAATAGAGTTGGAAATGTAAAATTTGATATCAGGACCTCTTTTGTGCGGCGGGTTTGATTAAACATCCATCTATTAACATTGGTATTACGCACTAAAAAAAAGCACGAAAAGTACTAAATGTTACTGAATTTTGTTTTGAAGAGGACATTTATGTTTTGAAGAGGACATTTTTCATTTCACTCCTTTCGGAAATAGATTTTAAAAAAGCTACGAACGGTACTAATTGCTATTAAATTTGGTATTTGGAAAATTTGGGAATTTAAAATTTGGAATTTGAAATTTCGATCTTTCATGTTGTGTACACTAAATGTATGATAATAATAATCTTGGGAAAGGTACGAGAAGAAATGGTCCGATCTCTCCCATCTTTATAACAGACAATGTGTTGATGGCAATATTAAGATGTACCAAGTCTGAATGGAATCAGATCTTAATTTCGCGTTTTATGAGCTTTATGGGCATTCAAAATTTTGAACCAGCGGAAATGGACCGATATATGCCATTTTCACAGCAGAGCTCGTATAAGTACCAGCGGAAATGGACCGATATATCCCATTTTCACAGCAGAGCTCGTATTAGTAGAAATAATGGGATGTGTGAAATATGAAGAGAACCAGATGTTTTTTTTTTTGAGATTTATGATTGTTTTGGCTATTCACAATTTTGACCCTTTGTGAGGATGATACCAGAAGGGGTGGACCGATATATTTCATCTTCACAGCAGACCTTGGATTAATGAAAATATTGTGATGTGTGTAACTTGAAGACAATCGGTCTTTTACATCACATTTCTTAAGAGTTATAATTATTCAAAATGTTGACCCTTTGTGGGGAAGGTACTTGATGGAGTGGTTCGATATTGTCCATTATCGCTCCTGACCTAGCACTGATGCAAATATTAGGATTTACAAAGTTGGAGCAAAATCGGATTATCCTTTCTTATTCTGTTCAGCAAAATTTTTTTGAAAATTTTGTACTTTTTGTGGGGGGTACCAGAAGGAGTGGGCCGATATTGTGCATCTCCGAACTCGATCTTTGTGGTGGAAGTACTTGATGGAGTGGATCGATATTGTCCATTTTCGCAACTGATGCAAATATTAGGATTTGCAAAGTTGGAGCAAAATCGGATTATCCTTTATCTTTCTGTGCAATAAAATATTTTTTTTGGAAAATTTTTACTTTTTGTGGGGGATACCAGAAGGAGTGGGCCGATATTGTACATCTCCGAACTCTACCTAAGTTTGATAATAATATTACGGAGTTTTAAGTTTGGACCAAATCGGATACTCCATTCGAGAATTTTCGTGCGCACCAGCCAGACAGACAGACGTACGGACGGATGGACATCGCTAGATCGACTCCAAAGAAACCTAGGGTCTAAAACCGTTATCTTGATGAGGCACGTTTTGACCGTATCAAATGATTTATACCCTCTGTGGCCATATGGCTGATGGTATAAAAATCAATTTTGGAAGTAGGTTGTTTTGGAAATATGTGTATATAAATCGGATAAGTAGTTGGTTGTGGGATACTGTGGTTGTGTAGCTTTAGAAAATGAGGGTTTTTTAGACATGCGTTCAGCATATTGTACGAAGTACTAAATTTCGTAAAGAGTGTAGGAAAATGTATGGAGTATGGATGTATGGAGTTTAACCTATTTTTTTTTTTTAAATAGGCTAATTTTGAAATTCGCTACGTTGATCACTGTGATTGTGTGGGTCTAGGTAAGAGGGAATAATTTAATGTAGCTTGGATTTGTGGAGAAAGAAAATAAACCCTTTGTTATTAGGTGTGCTGGAAGAGCTAGATTTGTAAATTTTTTGATGAATTCCAATGATGGACTGAATTTGCCAAAACTTGGATTGGCATGCCCATATTTCGTACAAATATAACCCAGGGGCCTGCATCAAATATAAAAGCTTTATCTTAAATTTTGCGAAGTATAAAGGCAAAATTTAAGGCCTTTTGTGCATGTTTGAAATTATATATGTATATAATGGACCATAAAAAAGTTTGGCCTCGGAACCCAAAAGCCTTTTGAGATTCAGATCTACTAACGAAATGCTATCTCCTCCACTTGGAATTTCCCACGCCCCAGACCATGATCCGATATTTGTCGCGCAGTGTTATCTATCAGACTCTTATAACTTTTTTTGTGTAGAGATACTCTTTCAAAGTTGTTTTCGAATTCTATCCTAAATTCCAAAAATATTGCCATTGTAAATGTTTTGCAAATCATCATCTGTTACCTTTCGCATTTTTTTTTAATTTTTAATCGGCTTTGGAATTTCTAGAATTTTCAACTTGCCATTATTCGAAATGAGACAAAAACAGCACAACCAACCACTGTGCACCCTGGCATGGCATACGCGAATGCCAAACAAGGTGCTAACTACGATGTGCTAATTTTTAATGGATTTTCTGTGGTCAGGTTGGTATTGCAGGCCAGTCAGCCAACCAGCCAGCAACCAAGCAAGCATTTTGTGACGTTCCTTTCATTTGTTGTCTGTTTATCTGTTGGTATGTC